GGGCATAGTAACAATACTTTTTATACTACATTTATCCATTTTAAATATACTAACCTCACTCCTTTGTAACAACTAAGGCAAAAATGTAACTAATTCAGAAAATATTTTCAGGACCCCACCTTGAAGTTTTGGGATCCCACTTTGGGTCCCGACCCCAACTTTGGGAAACACTGATTTAGAGCAATGATTCCCAGACTTTTCAGCTTTTGACCTACAAAATAAAAGCAGCAGAGCTGTGCCCCTGAATACCTTTGGTTAATAAACATATTTATCAGGTCACATAAACAAGGACAGGTTGCAATATTCATTATGCTATTTTTGTCCACTTCAAACATGCTGATCTAAGTCTTATGTAACAAGAAAGGCAAAAAAATGTTTGCAGTCTATTTTAAATTTCATTAATTCAGCAAATCTTTTCAGACCCCACCTTGATGTTTTGACCCTACCATTGGGAACCACTGCTTTAGGGGACATAAAATGTGTTCCAAGAGTACAGTTTTCTGAAAGGACTTTAAAAATCTCACTTTGTAGATTAAAAGAAAACAGGAGAAACCAGACAGTTTTTACAGCTCCAATATCTCTTTTTTAAAACTTTATCTCAACATTACAAGTTTAAAGATGAGCGATGATGTAATTATTACGTGTGTGTGTGTGAGTGTGTGTGTGAGTGTGTGTGTCAGATCTCAACGTTACTCATCAGAATAAAGCTGAATAAACTCTTTCAGCAGCTCCTGGACCCCTCACTACGAAACCATTTCTTCTTCTGTCAAAAGCAGCCTGCGCAGGAATTTCAGTGTCAGACGAGCCAAGTTAGCCGCTCGTTTTCTGGTTCTGGACCTGAAATTCTGTCGATCCCCGTGGTGAAACAACACACTGTCTTCTGCACTGGATTGTGACAGATGGAGTTTTTTTTTGTTTGTTTTGCCATAGAAACATTTAAAACAGCCACACAGGAGGAGGAGAGGGAGCTGCTGGGAGCAGAGGAGGGCTGCATGAGAATTAGATGGAACCAGGAGGTGGGGTCGTTTAGGTCCCATCAGAACAAAAAATCATGCTTTTTTTTTATAGTGTGTGACAAGTGTGTCAGCACTCACATCACTGTTTGCTGTATTTTGTTTTTCAGTTCATTCTAGAGGAACGAGTTTCACAAACACAAACTGAGATCTTTTCAGCTCCTTTCAAAACACAAACATTCTGTTTACAGCCTGCTTCAGCTGCTGCCTCTGTTTGTCTTTGCATTTTACTTTGAGTCTTTAGCCTTTAGTTCCTTTAAGCTTTCAGCTACACTTCTGCTGCTTTTAGCTGGCCTTTTGTTACCTTTAACTTTTGGCTACTTGTAGCTACTCTTATGTTGTGTTAATCTAGCTTTTTGTTACCTTGACCTTTTAGCTAGTGTTTTACTTATTCAAGCTTTTAGCTAGCCATTTTGCTGCTTTYAGCTTCCAGCTACTGGTTTGCTACATGTAGCTTTCAGCTAGGGTTTTGTTTATTTCAGCTTTTTGCAAGCATTTGTCTCTTTAACTACCCTTTTACTATTTATAGCTACTCCTTCGCTGCCTTTAGCCAGTCTTTTGTTATTTGTAGCTTTTAGCTTGCCTTTGCTACTTTTGGCACCAAATAACTCTTTTGCTACGTTTAGCATTTTGCTTTTAGATACCATTTTATTACTTCTAACTACTCTTTTACTGTGTTTAGCGAGCCTTTTTGACTTTCAGATTAAAATTTATTTGAATTTTTTTTAATTTATTAATTTCATTTAAAAACAAAACAAATGCTTACATACAACAAATAATGATACAACTAGGCCTGTCGCGATAGACAATAAATCAATTAATTGCACGATAACTTTTTTTGAGGTCGGTAAAAAAAAGAAGGCGATAAGTTTCATTTTCCTGCTTGTTTGTTTACTTC